TTATTTATTTTTTCATTTATAAAATTTAAATTTGATATCTTTTTTTAAAAAAATCAAATTCTTTCGAGTCAGATTAATAGATCGTTGCTGTCTTGCGTTTCTCATTTCCATGAACTTTTGTTATAAGCAATTTGACTCGACTAGGTCGTTTTTTCCGTTATCCGTACAACTGAATTGACTGAAACAGAGAAGAAATGTCTGCCTCCGACATGAAAAGAAAAAACCAACGACGTCGTTTTTTTCCTTTTCTCAACCTAGGAATTTTGCCCAAATCCGATTCATCGGTCCGTAGACGTTGCAATCGGAACTACGATTATGAAAAAAAAAAAAAAATGTCGGCGGTTTACGTGCTGGAGCCACCAGCAAGGGGGAAGGTGATGCTGAACACGACGTACGACCTAAAGAGGCACCGAAAGCTGTCAGGAACTTCTATTTTGAAAACACAATCTTTCTCCTCAACATCAATGGCTTCCTAGTCCAGGGCGGCGATCCCACCTGCTGCTGGCACGGGTGCCCTTCTTTTACCAACTTTCTCTTCTTTGTTTTGACGCATTTATTTTTAGGTTAAACCCCCATTTTGGTCCCTCAACTATCATACGGATCCCGACTTAGTTCCTCAACTCAAAAAATCTTTAATTTGGTCCTTACTAATTTGCCATTTCGACCCCATGATGACATGTCAAAAATAGAGTAACACCTCAAATGCACATCTAAAAAAAAAGATGACATGGCAGTATGATGTTTCATTTCAACCTAAAACCAAACAAAAAAAAGGACCCCACCTCCTGCAAAGCCTAAACCCTTCTCCCTTTTTATTTCCATTCAAACCTAGAATAGTAGAGCTCTCCCAATTCCTCAGCAAGCATCCACGAAAAAAAAAAAAGGGAAAAAGAGAATTTTTTTTTTAAATTTTTTTCTCTTGGGTTCGTTCGAACCCAAGTGTGCTAGGTTCCTTGGAACCTAAGTGTCCTCCTAGGTTTGAACGAACCTAGGTCCTAGGTTTGAACGAACCTAGGTCCTAGGTTCCTTGGAACCCAGGAGTCCTCCTAGGTTCGAATGAACCCAGGCGTCTTGGGTTCGAAGGGAAAAAAAAAGAATTTTTTAATTTTTTTGATATTATTATTTTTTGTTGTGTTGTCATTTTTTTTTTTCAAGTGTGCATCTAATGTGTCACGATATTCGAACATGTCATCATGCTCCAGTTAATTAACGGGATATGTTACTGGATTTTTAACAAAAGGACTAAATTGGGGTCAAAATGGTAAGCGGTAGAGACCAAATCAAGGATTTTTTGAGTTGAGGGACTAAGTCGGGGATCCATACGATAATTGAGGGACCAAAATGGGGTTTAACCTTATTTTTATCATCATGGGTTTATGCCATTAAAAGTGATTTCTTTATTTGAACTGAGATATATAAAGTTTGGATTTCTCCTTTGCTTATAGCATTAGTCAGGGAAGACTAGGTGTTTTTTTCCTTTTTTTTTTGGGGTTTGGTGATTGATGCTGTATGAACTTCCTGCTTAGGTAATTAATGTTGTATGAACTTCCTGCTTAGGTACTACTTCACTTCCAGTTTCCATCAAGGCATCAACCGTATTAAGTGCAGAGTTTATCATTCCTGTTGTAGAGGCCTACTGCATATTGCTTGTTAATGTTGTTTTAGCTATGATGGGTAAATTTTACACGCAACTTGATCTTGAAGTCCCTGTTTTAGGTATTATGGAACCCATTTGAAGATATAGTTCCAAGAGAAATATCAGGCCTTCGACCCAACCAGTAACTGATACTGAGAATAAAGATTCAAAGAAGAAAGTCATGAAATCAGTTTCCTTCCTTAGCTCCTTGATGATTGTCCATTCTCTTAATGAACAATTAGGACACTTAACTGTAACATGCAAGAATCACTTTTAGAAAGGTTTATGCATTATAAAGATTATAAGTTGCTATCTTGTTCCTCCTGTGGAGGAAGCTTTAAGCCAAATGACAAAGATGTTTCTGCACCAGTGTCCTTCGCAAACGTTTTCATACTCTTCTGGTTCTTCTATTTCGTCATGTTTCTCCATGTTAAGGAAGTCTGCCGCAGCATCATTTAATTCAACCTTGAGAAGATGATGTTTGTATCAAGTTTTTTGGTTCAAACCTATTTCTTTCTTACCTTATTTTTCCTTATTTCCTCTTCCCCGTCTTTGCAATGGCCGCATGGCAAGTGATCCATCTTGTTGAACTTCAAGAATATGTAGTTCATAGGGAATAATTAAAACATGTACATTTATTCGAAGAGGAAAAGGTCTTTGGACCTGTGCACAAGCATTGGTGTGGTTGGTTTTGTATCATAAATGACATATTTTGGATTTTACACTAAAAAATTCTACTGTTTTCTTGAGAATTATTTCTTAACAGGTAGTGGGAAATGAAAAGAAAAGAGGATAGGCATTTGAGAAAAAATTTCATTCTGATTTGTAACTGCATGCTCTTTCAGTTGTAAAATGTGTTCTGATGACCTACTTGAATTAACGTGGTATGTATTCATTTTTATTTACTCCTACTTTTTCTTGTTATTTTTCCTATTATTAGGCTTTAGCAAAACTTAAAAGGTTCATACAATCGGTTTCTGAAAAACCAGTTGCCTCAAATGGTGAGTCTGGAGGTGGTCATAAAGAGGACTTGTCAAATTAGGCAGTTGTTCGGTTAAAGTTTGCTCCTGAGACCAAGTTTTGTTTCTATTTCTGTAGAATAAATGCAGTCGATTATTCATTAGCACTGAGAGAGAGCGTCATGGATGTAAAACAATTCTATTTATATATATATATATGTTAATTTCTTAGTATCCAATAATTATGTTAACTTAAAACTAATTTAAAATCGAATCACGTTAAATTTTATAAGAGAAAAAGTTATTTCAATGTTTATTTCTTCATTTAGAAAACTCGAATTCAAAACTTTATTTAAGAGAAATTAAACTCTTTTTACTCGAATTAATAAGTCGCTGGTATAAACAATTATATTATATTTAACAGGTTTTATAGCTCTATAAAAGACCATTATGGCATGTTTGGTTATTCTGGGTTATGGTGTGAAAATATATGGCATCTTTGGCTATTCTTCTGGGTTATGGTGTGAAAATGATGAGGTGAAGCGGGAGATTGTGACAACTGACAACCGACGACTTAGGAATAAGTGGGTGGGAATAAGGTGGCCTTACCAACTTCCTGACTTACTAGAGAAAAAAAGGTGCACTCATGATCAATCTATGGAACCAAACATGACCTATATGTATTTGAACTCAAGCTTCATTTTGAATTTAATAGCAACACCAGAAATCATGATAAGAATAGTAAATACTTAAAAACTGAGTCATATGTGAAAGATCCTGCAAGCAGAATGCGTTGCAACATCACTAAATATAGAATCATGGCGGTGATTAGAATGGTTTGGTTTTGTGACAATGATATTCCATAACATTTTCATCTGAACAAAATTTTCTATGAATGTGATACATGATGGTATGTCTTGCAAGGATGACCTGAACAACCATGTTTGTGGTTGACCACGTGTTGGAGAAGTAAAATCCAATGGTATGCGCGAATGGGCTGGCAAATCTCTTACTTAACCTATGATCAAAGCACTAATGACCTCCATTACGTAGTCGGTTCACATGTTGGTGTGGCCTTGCACAAAGATCATTTTTGTATTCAGCCGACGTCCTAGAAATTGTTCCCATGCACTCAAAAGTTTGTTTCATCTTCTCGGGCACCAATGAGTAGCAAAGGACAACCCTATACTGGTTTTTAGTTCTTTTCACATTGGACATACTAGTCTGCCTGATCTTGTCCATGGATAGGTTGGAAAATCAAATTCCATGACCAAACTGACTATAACTTTGGATTTTAGCCTACCCCACTAATTTTTTTTGGAAATTCAAACTTCTGACCTTGGAATTTAATTTCCCAAGTCTTTTTAAAATTTTTGTTTTTCCTGATAAAAAGTCTTCCTTAATTATAACACTTGGAATCTGTATACAGCATATCATGTCGCGTTGTTTTTAACTTGCTTTTAAAGTTGTCAAAAACAACTAAAGGAAGCAGCAGATAATGTTGACTTTGTTAGGGCCCTTTTTGAGCCTAATCAGGGTACATGCTAGTAGGAATCAATATACTTTGCGTTTCTTTATTTATTTATTTTTTTTCTTTCTAGCTTTGAATTTCCCAACTGCATTTTTATTATTTTCTTTCGTCTATTTGTGGCATCTATTTTTTTGCTTCCAGTTAAAGAATCCTAAGATTCCCTTCGAATGTTTTTGCCCTTTTTCACTTTTTGTAATTTCCCAAAACATGTGAAAAACATTATGAGGGGCTATCGATGATGGGGCATTTTTATTTTATAATTAGTGTTTTATCATTTAATATAAATTTTAAATTATACAACACTAAATTATAAAAATTTATTGAATCAAACTTTCAAAGTTTACTTCTAAGCCTTATAATATTTATATTTATTGATCAAAATTTTGTATCTCATCAATACCCTTGAAAAAATCTCTCCTTTCTAAAATCATAGAGTATTAAAAAAAATTAAAAAAAATTATTATCCTTTTAAGGAATCGCTACATGATATTAAGTCTCTTTCCGTTTAGAGCCGGCCGTTAAACAAAGCATTCCATCAATATGTCATAAGGTCTCACGCTGACATTAGGTAACAAACGTCACCCAAGAATCTGTGGGTCCAAAATTCGTAAGCTTTATACACCACGGAATTCTAATTAAGGAAGGCAAAAAAATGTTTTATCCTATTATTTACATATCAAAATTAATATCTGCTTTAATTTCGGTTTGTGGGACGTAAATTAAGGGAGTTTTTAATATATTT